TTATATCTCTTATAAATCCGATGTAAATGCTTCACCACAATTTTCTACTGCAGCGTTTTAAGGTTTCATACATTGCTCGTTGTTACCCACTTTAAAATCCCATGATAAGCATGCTCCTCCCATCTCAAATGTTTTCAATATTAATGTACTTTGAATTTTTCTCTATCCATAATTAACTTCAAAAATTAATGAATTTCGAAGTTTTGTAAACTCTTATTTTTTGTAAACTCACGTCGCTGCAGCAATGGAGTCAGGCGTGCACGTCGCTGCAGCAATGGAGTCCGGCGTAAACGTCGCTGCAGCAATGGAGTCCGGCGTAAACGTCGCTGCATTAATGGAGTCTGGCGAACACATCGCTGCAGCAATGGAGTCCGGCGTACACGTCGCTGCAGCCATGGAGTCTGGCGTACACGTCGCTGCAGCCATGGAGTCTGGCGTACACGTCGCTGCAGCAATAGAGTCTGGCGTACACGTCGCTGCAGCCATGGAGTCCGGCGTACACGTCGCTGCAGCCATGGAGTCTGTCGTACACGTCGCTGCAGCAATAGAGTCTGGCGTACACGTCGCTGCAGCAATGGAGTCTGGCGTACACGTCGCTGCAGCAATGGAGTCAGGCGTACACGTCGCTGCAGCCATGGAGTCTGGCGTACACGTCGCTGCAGCAATGGAGTCCGGCGGTCACATCGCTGCAGCAATGGAGTCTGGCGTACACGTCGCTGCAGCAATGGAGTCCGGCGTACACGTCGCTGCAGCCATGGAGTCCGGCGTACACGTCGCTGCAGCAACGCGGGTCCGGAAGCCCCAAGCCTGGCCAAGTTAGTGGGCCGCTGTGACACACGGCCACACGACGACAGCTTAACGGAGTCAGGAATTGTATCAACTTCGCCCTCCCTCGTCCTTGTCTTCATTGTTTTTTATTTCGCTGCTCCCGCTGAGATTCCCGGAACAATCGGACTTGGATCACAGGAAGCTTGGAATGAATTGTAAGGATAGTGGATATCATTGCTGTCGACATCGGAGCTATAAATTGCCCAAGAGGAAACCTGAAAATGGGCAGTATCACAGATGTAAAAAAGTATGCATTCCAAGATAATTTTTTACTTTCCTTTGGTTTGCTCTTCCTAGATATGTTTTCAAACGTAGCTGTTCTTTCCTTTATTTCGGGAGAGCCAGCCAAAATTTTTTTGTATAAGTTTCATGAAAGATAAATAGAACTATGCATTTGCTTCTGGTTCTTTATATATTTGGTGATAATATAAATGAAATGTGGCAACATATATTAACTCGATTGGGGTTAAAACGTATCGGAAATTCTTTTAGAACGTAATATAGATATAACTTTTTATTTTGATATTCGTGTTCGAGAACCCCCGTTCATAAGGACTATTATCACTTGAGTTTCAGCTCGCACTCTTCACGCCGAACAAGATTAAGTGCCAACCCTCTGTGAAGACGACGACCCGGAACGAACTGATTAGAAGCGGCCTTCCTGAACCAACAGTACATCCGTGGAAACAGGAAACATATTTTGGGAATGGACAAACTTGACAAACAGAGTCGTCTGTTCACAGTCGACGGACCAGACAGACGAACGAACAGAATAACAGACAGGCGACTTCGGCTCCTGAAAAGCGATCGACGCGCGTTGTCGTAGGCACGTACTAGAAAACACGATGGTCTTGTGAACCTCGTATTGTGAACCTCGAGTCAAAATAATATGAAGGTTCTTAAATCAGTTCTTATCGATAACCAAACTACCGAGCCTAGTGATTAAATCAATCCCGAAGAATTTCAAGTTTTTCTCACTTCAATAGAGTAATTTTGAAAACCATTTGTTCTTTCCACTGCCAGCCGCAAGCGAATATTAATTCTATTCGAGATTAAAAAAAATATATGTTGGAATTTTATGTAAATTAGGACTAATAATTAAGCGATTTAGACGTCATTATGAATATGAATGACCAAGTACACATTGTCTTAGCAACATATAAGAAATGCACTTGCGCTCGCAAACTGGGACCTGCTGCTTGAATGTTATGAACCGTGAAATGCTGCTGAGCCGAGCCAATGGCCGTGAAATTTCTTCGCTCCAAATGAAGTTTACGATTGCACAAATATGCGCTCTGCTTGCACGGCTTTTAACTTTCTGATGTAGCGGCTCTAGAAACTTGGTGCAAAATTCATCAGCGATTGATATATAAATATTACTGAAGACGTTGTTCATGAACTTTATATTTGGCATTAGAATTTCGATTGCTCCGGAATTGATATCAGGGCCCATTTGTGGCAATAAATTACTAAATAATGTTTATTGTGGTTTTATTTAGAAGCTCCTCTGCAGCGACACTTGAGTAGTTTATAAGCTCGTGCTAAATGTATACGATGAGTTAGAAACTTTTTTTTTTGCATGCTGTCTCAACCCGCCCTCATATTCATAATTGAACTATATACATTAGTGCTGAAAATTTTGTTGCATAATTGTGCATATTGCCGGCGGTGAAGATTGAGCCAAGGCTGGCTTGGCACCGATTTTGCACAGCGCAGAATCGTCCCTGCTAGCTGGACTCAAACTGCACAATTTTGAACAATAATCTGGCTGTATGCTGCTGCTTCTCTACCCTCCCACCTTTAGAGTTTCCGGTAAATAATTTTTAATTTTTACCCAATTAAGATTAGGAAGATTTAGTTTATACAACCAGCGCAATGAATTGTAAAATGAGCAAAATGAAAAATTTTAGAGATGATAAATTTTAGTTATGGTTTTCACTTTAAATTTATTTATGCAAGATTTCGTTGTAGTGAGATAAAAAGAATTAAGATATGGTGAAAATTATTAGTCATTTTTTTCATTGTTGAAAACTCAAAATCAATGTTATATTGTCATATTTTACAGATATACTGACCGTACTTTTCATGTTCTGTTTTTTTTTTATTAAATAAGATCCCCTTATTTTCCGTTTCAGTACCGAGACTCCCCTCTAAACGGAAGGGCCAGCGGGGTGACTTGGAGGGCGAGAATGGTGGCAGGAGGGGTGACATGGAGGGCGAGAATGGTGGCAGGAGGGGTGACATGGAGGGCGAGAATGGTGGCAGGAGGGGTGACATGGAGGGCAAGAATGGTGGCAGGAGGGGTGACATGGAGTGGGTGACATGGAGGGCGAGAATGGTGGCAGGAGGGATGGCAAGGAGGGGGCGTTCGCTGGCGCTGTTTTCAAGAGTCGAGGGAAAAGAAGCGCTCCCTTATATTGCGCTGCGTCCATTTTCACGTAATTTGCTGAACTTTCAGTGCCGAGAAAATTCTTTTACAAGAAAAGTCCAGAGAATGCGGGACTTTTTATTTTAAAGAGTCACTCTCAAAGTGAAAAGAAGTTTACTTCAAAACATTTCCATTTTTTAGGAATAGCCGAAAATTTAGGGTATTGTTGATTACTGCTTTTAATTCACACTTTTTTAATGCATATCCAAAAGAAAATAAATTTCCCCAACAAGCTACGGACACTTACTTTGTCAAAAATTCATCATTCATCACAAACAAAATCTATCTTACCCTCGAAACTTTTCATAATCTCTTTATACAATAAATCGAGTTAGCATCCAAATGAAAATCATAGCTCCAATCGACGAGCAAATCAAAAGTAGTTCACGACATGGGCGCTCCGGAGACGAGCTCATTTGCCCCGGACAGATGGCATCACAGTCGAGATTTCCTTTCAACTCAGCATGGCCATAAGCTGCCGTCAATAATGGCCATGCTTATCAGGCAACTCGTGGCAGACGTTCATTGTTCCGAGCCACGTCTCGTCTCCTTATAAACGCCCATGCAGCCTCGCGTCTTCCAGCTTTCTCACGCTCACGACTCGCAGTTCTCGAGTTTATCTTGTGGACCATCATTCTTTTGATGGTGTCTGCAGTTATTTTTCGTGCCCTAATAACAATTATTATTTTAATACATGTCAGAACTATTAGCTTTACTTGACATGAATGAGCCTCATTTTCGTTCCTGTCTCATTTTATTTCCTCTTCGCTGTGCGAGTTTTTTTTAGTCCCAGTTTCGTTTCTCAAAGTCAGTTTTCTCCTGGACCTCTTTCGATATTATATAGTTTTCTACCATCGACTACCTAAAGTTTACCTTTTATTTCGTCAGTTGTAGGAATAGTTTAATGATATAGGTATATATGTGATCGCAATTACGATTTTTAACGTAAGACATCAATTTCATGCAATTAAGTTGTATTTATGTACTTTTTTGTAAGTAGTGGAATTATTTGAATAATTATAAATTGTCGCGAATCTGAAAATAATTTATTCTGAATTCTATTTCAAAATAAATTCAATAGCAATCGAAGTTTAAACTTTACGTATAACGAATCAAAATCTTCGTATCATCAAGTCAGCTATTTATTGATTGGAATTAAAAATAACATCTTCAACACAGTTTACGGTTGTAACCTGAACTTAACTTGCCATTGGCATGTATACGCGGACGACAGGATTTGTCAGTCCGGTATCCTGGCCGGAGCCAAAAAAGGTGCCACCGGAGATGCGTGTAAAGACTTGATCCCAACAGGAACCCACCTCAGAAAAGAAGGACGTCCGTTTTTTTCCTTTCGCGTGTCAAGTTACGAAGCTTTGAATGAATTCTAACTTCCGGGCCTGTATTTCCATTATTCAGAAGCTCAAATGAGGAATGCTAGTGAGCGACTAGTATTCATAACCTCGATACTCAGCCAACAAAATCCGCTTTTCTGAGACATTTAAATTGCATATCATAATCAGTAAGTGAATTTAGAATTTGTCAATACTATGATAGTTAACTCTGTATATATGAATATTTATCCAACTACTCACTCATTTGTGAATACTAATGTTTCATTATAGCAGCCGTGAAAACTATCATGACTTTAAATAAGTAACAATATTTTAGTTGTTGCTGACGTCCTGACTACGGAAAAACAAGCAGTCATGTGCACCATCATATGCAGTAGTGAATAAAAAACATATTTCCTTTCAAATTTATATTTTATAAAAAATAAATATCTCTTTACAAATGACTTAGATTCAGACGCCAGGAGCGCTCACACGTATTACAAAATCCTACAGCTAATGAACCCGTCCAATAAAACTACAAATTCCGCTCTTACAAAAGATAAAAGCTAATACATTCAATTGAGTTGTTCAACTTTCTCTAATACAAGTATTGAAACGGGATTATCAATCGCAACGACAGAGGAAAATCTTGAAAAAGTTTTGAATAACGTTTTTTTAATTGAGGTTATAAGAAGAACTATAGCAGCAAGATTCATTATCAGAAGCATCATTATCTATCAGATTCATTATCAGAAGCAAAATTAACTCACACGCGCCGCGAACAGAGCACCAAAGCCTATTATTTTTGATGTTGCGATGCTTGAAATCGAGAATGGCAGAAACAGTTGAAAAATGACGACTAAGCTATAAGAAACTGCGGGATTAATTACGATGAGAATTCGTTCATGGCTTGAGAAAACCTATTCTGAATTTCATCAATTTGATGCACCAATTTTTTTATTAACAAAAGGCGCGCAGAAAATGTGTCACAGAAGTTAATTTGTGACATGAAATACAATTGGGTTCTTTTCGATAAATACCCTACGCACTGCCAATAAAAAACACTGTTTTCAATTATTACTTTTCTTCTTGGTTTATTTTCGAGATAAGTCTAAATCTCACGCTAAACTTCATTTACCAAGCAATATAAAGTTTCCAATGAAAAGTTCAATATAACTCAACGATTTAAAGCGTAGAAAAAGTGAGACTCGCCAAACCATTTAGAAAGGCCAAGCATTTTGGCAGAGTAATGTGCAGGTTTGGTTTGGAAAATAAATTTAAACATAGCATAAATCGAACTAATTAAAAATTAGTTTAAACTCCTAGAAATAACTCACTTTTTCGAAACTAATAACCATATGACCAAAACAGCTTGAATGAAATTTCCGAGAATCAAATGCCATCAGATAACAAAGGTCGAAAATTTTCCTTTATTTAAGAATAATCGTGATAATCTGTCTGGAAAAAACTGAAACAGGTTATGATAGGTATATAAAGATTACCTAATGAAACAAGTATGCATTCCTTTCTTAGGTTTGAAATTTTTCAAAGTACGATAGCAATTTCTCACAGTACGATAGCAACAGATTCTCCACAAGACAACGGGATTCATAAACTAACAACGCGAAGAAATCAGCGGTGCCAACAGTGATGAAATATATACACAACAGTAAATAACAATAAAACATTAAGAGGCACTTTTTATAGCTGATCATCGCTTAAAACGAACATTCGTAACATAAACGAGCACCAAGTACATAGTACAATAATAATTGAGTTTTGAATGCATTAATCGCACAGAATCAGTATTTTCATGATATCCTTCCTCTGACTAATGGTTATCAACAGGTATTAAAGCTCGCTTATTGTATATTATGAAATCGTATCGAAACTAGATTATTGATATTAATTACAATCATTGACGCTTTAAAGTCTCTGGTCTGATCTATGTAAGCTTTTAGGAGCAGCGTGCAGAGAACTGAATGTTGGGAAAGAATCATCTACAGGACTTTTCCGGAGCGGAATGCTTTCCGGAACATCAGGTTTGTAGGGAGGATGATTGTCTGGAACGTGCCTCCCCCGCTGACTGCTGGCGTTGGAAGACGTGGGGCTGTAGTGCATTACAGTGCGATGAGAATCAGGGCAACCCACAAGGTTGTGAGTTTCAGTGTAGGCACCGTGAGATGGTCGCTGGTTGTAGGCTTCGTATGTGTGCTCTGAAGCCTCATCACAGGGGCGTTTGTAGCCTCCACAACTGCCACTGGAGTACACTGGACACGACGCTTCAGAACAGAGTTCCACTCCCACTGGCTGCCTGTTTTGGAAGCCTCTATGATAACTATCACTACTACTATGACTGCTACTACACGTGGTGCCTTCACTGCCACTGTACTGACATAAAGGAGGAGGCGGACATGATGGTGGAGGAGGTGGAAGGAAAGCTGTCCACTGCCCAGGGCCTGGTAGCTCGTGATGGGGGGAGGTGGGTGCCATGAGAGCAGTGGTAGTATAGGCTTCCACCTGAGATCCATCGGACGGCACAAGATTGTTAGGCTCTGCATAGTCGTTCACGTAATGATTGTGTCTTAGAAGACAAGCGTTTGGCTGCATGCGTGGAGTGTCGATGGCAGACCAGGTCTTGTGATGCTCTCCGTACATGTTAACATGACAATGAGATGAGCAGATGGAGTGATCACGACATTTATCTGAATGAGAATGTCTATCGGGGGATTTCTGACATTTGACATATCCTCTTAAATATAAAACTAAACCAAGTATTATCAAAACTAACAACGGAATTAGAACATAGATTAGCCACATGTGGTGATTCGGCGTCATTGCGTCCTGTTTAATTGCCGGTTCATCGTTCGTGTACGTCGGTTGGTCCTCCAGTTGCAGTAGCGTGGGTGCCGAGAACGGTCCGATGCCAGTACTTGTCATGGCAGCGACACGCGCTGTTAAGAGGCAGCCTGACACCAAGTTTTTCAGCTCAAGCCAATGAGTGGTGACGTTGTGGTCCTGCACGGACCCGTTGCACGAGACCACGACTGCGTAACCTAAAAGTCTCCCTGGTATATGATCGGGATCAACTTCTTCCCAAGTCACCAAAGCCTCCGAAGAGCTTCTTTTCGATAGTAAAACTTGTTGAGGAGCAGCCGAAGGAACTACAAGAAGCAAAAAGTTCTAGTTAGATGTAAAATAATACAATTATATTAGAAAGTTTTGCGTTAAATAGTAAAAAAATTAGTCTAAGGAGCATAACAAAAGGCGTTTGAGTGGAATTTACGTAATCATAGTTATCTTTCACATTTTTATCGGAAAATACTAGATTGGCTAATAAATTCGAATGCAACAACCTACGCTAGTGGAAAATAAGCAAAAACATGAATGGTACAGAATCCTGACGGAATACATGAAGACAAAACAATGATTTTTTAACATAAGTTTCGTACAAATCAAAGTAATTTATACAAGCTGGATTACTTACTATCCTCGGGAGTGGTGAGCGACAGCGAGTTAGTGGGAGCTCCCTCGATGTTGCGCCAGAAAGGGACCAAGAAGAAGGTGTAGTAGGTGTATGGATCCAAGCCCTTGACAAGGTGCGAGGAAGATGAACTTCCTAAGACGGTTGCAACCCTCACAGCTGCGGGCTTTTTCTCAGCATTTCCTTGAGTAGTTTCGTAACTGATGCAGTACACCAGAACGCCGTTTTCTTGATTCTCGTTATCAAGTCCTTGCCATGTCAGCAAGACGCTCCTTGACGAAGTAGCTTTAGCACTCAGAAGGGCCACCGTAGGCCTGTCAAACCTTCTGTCTGTTTGCCAGCGATTCTTTGTCGTCATAACGTTGCTGTTTAGAAGCTCCAGCCTTGTTGGATTTGACCATGGACTCGGAAACGACTGACCTCCTCCTGTTACACTTCTGACCAAAAATGTGTAAGTGTAGCTCGGGGTCAGGTCAGAAATAATAGTTGATTCCGTGTTTACATACGAAGCCGCTATTTGCCATTCACTCCACCCATGACGCCAATATTCAACCATGTAAGTCACTGGGTCTTTTTTGCCTATCTGACTTGAATTTGGTTGCCAAGAAAGCCGAACACTCGTTTCATTCAGAACTCTTACCCTTGGCTTAGATGGAGGAGCAGGTAATAATTTTTCGAGCCTGTGCCCTAGTAATTCATTCTCCTCGAAACGAACAACAGCCGTGGCTTCAGCATTACCTGTGGCAGCTGTCACCCGACAGGTGTAAATTCCGCTATTAGATCTGTTCGTGTTACGAATTGTGAGTGCGTGATTAGCTGATAAAGATATACCGCGTGATGGATCGTCGACAATCTCATGCTGCGGTAAATGAGCCGCTGGTCTGAACCACCAGGACACTGACGCCTCTGAAGATTCACTCACGGGTTCGCAGGGAAGCGTCATGTGATCTCCATTGCTAATGGTCTGATCTTGGGGACCAACACCCACCACTGGAGGAGGAAATGCCTCAACCACTAAAATTTTCGCTCGTGCACTTACACCACCACCCGAGTTGGTTCCCATGCATGTATAAAGTCCGGACTCTGAGAGTTTTACGTTTTCCATCACAAGTCTCCCGTCTTCTTCGACTCTATTGTGACCTTTTTTATGTCCAGGAAGGAGAATGTCAGTTGGGTCTTCACCGGGCAGGCGCCACATCAAAATAGGAGGAGGATCCCCATCCATGATACATGGCAGTAATCGAGTCGAACCTACTTCTATAACGTGGTCATTCGGACGTTCCTTGAAGAAAGGTAATGCCAAGACGTCAACGTGAACCTCAGCTCTTATCATACCAGCTTCATTTTCAGCCACACAAGCGTAAATGCCAGAATCCGACGCTGTTACTTGTGTTAGCTGCAATGAATTCTCGGATGAAACGCTGGCTCTTCCTAATGGAATCTTTCCATCAAGCCGCAGCCAATCAACTTTGGGTGTTGGGAAACCCGAAACTTGGCACGGAAGAGATAATATTGTTCCTGTGGTGACGGTTCGATTTTTTGGAGCGATCACAAAGCTTGGGGGATCTGAAAAGAAAAAGATGGAACATAAAGAGACAACCTAATCAAGTATCGGAAATCTTAAGCTCTCCACTTTTAAATCTAATCTAATTCCGTTACACACAAAACGTCAAATCGAGCAATCAAGTCTTTTCATGTACTCAAAACAAATTCAATAACAGCGCGGTCATATAATATTTAATTAATTTCTTTCTATTATTTAAATTATTATTATATTAATTATATATTAATAATATATTAATTAATTATTATTTATTTAAAAAAAACATCATACTTTAATCTAGCAAGAAACCCAATTATTGTTTCAAACAACTGAAAATGACGCCATTTTGACAAAATTGATTCCCCGTATAAAATATTCTACAGAATATGTTCGCAGTTTTCTCACCCATGACAGTGATCTCAGTGGGTGCACTGATTTTCGTTCCAGCAGCATTGGACGCTTGGCATGCATACGTAGCCGAGTCCTCGGCTTTCGTCACGAGAAATCTGAGCTCGCCGCTGGCGGAGGTGTAGACTCTGCCATCGCTCTCTATCACCTGTCCGTTCTTGAGCCAATTAATTTGAGGTTCAGGAGTGCCTTTAGGAGGACGACAAGGCAAAGTCAGCGCCTCTCCAGCTATCACATTTATGGTTGGTCTGGGAATTTCCAGAAACTCGTCGTCAATTGCAGCAACTTCGATGGTAGCGTTGTCGGACCGCACGGATCCAGCCGAATTTTGAGCGACGCACCAATAGGTGCCAGCATCGTTGACTTTCTTCGTAGTGGCGACTCTAAGGAAGAATAAGGATCCAGATGGTAGCAAAATTCTGGGAGAACTAGGATCTTTGAGGAGGTCAGTTATCGGCTCCCCGTTGTGGTACCAGGATATTGTCTTAGCGTCCTGGGCGGCGCAGTTAAGAGTGTAAGGGTCATTACGGCGGACCACTCCTCCTTTCGGTTGTTCGGTGATCACAGGCGGTCCTGAAACAAGCAAAATATTTTATTATTTCATTGTTTCTCAAATGGTTGCTTGCGCAGAAATTGCGAATATTTTACCCGAGTTCCATTTTCGCTGAACGATGACTATCGTTACGTACCTATAGTTTAAACGTACTAATAAAAAAAGACGTACATTTACAATTGTGTACGGCATTGTTAAACACGGACCATGTGCTCTCCGATATATGTTATATTTAACATCCTTGCAAACATTCCCAATATTCTAGATATACCATAAATAGGTAATTTTACTAGTAGAGTACAATCCGTAATTATCACATTTAACTTCGCTTAAATCAAATCCACTATCACGAAATTGACGTGCAAAAGGTAAGAAACTCAAAATAAAAGCCTCAATGTTTTCTCTAGAAATCTCTGCAGCTCATCTCTTTGTTTTAGCAATAGCCTTCTAGCCTCTCTTCGCGCGAAGCAGAAGATGTTAGCGAGCGAGTCTCCTAAGAGTCGTCAGGGGCGGCGCGCGCTGAGGTTACGGGCTCAAGTGCTGCTCTCGAACAACACCGAGCAGCGCCGTAAAAAAATATTACGTTGTGCTGTATCCACACGCGGCCAATCTTCATGTTACAGGACTTAGAGTATCAATGAAAATGCGTGTGCCAAGCACTTGGTTTAGTATCAATATGAGAGCGGATTTCTTCGAAGTAAACGCGTAGACAAGGCGTGTGACAAATGAATCAGACAAGGGCCAGAAAATTCGTAAATTTATTCAATGTTCCGGTAGTTATTTTCTGCAGACGGGTTCTTAGAAACCAACGCAAGAAAAAAGTATCACTCCTCTATTTATAAGTGAATTTTCTACCATATAGTAGACATGTACTCAACTCAACACAATATCGGTAAATGCATTATAAAAGCCATTATGAGTTTATGACTATTAATTGTCCCAGAAAATATTAAACATACAACCATGAAGCTACTGTACTATATGAATACAAGAAACATCAAATGAGATTAAACTGTTTACTATAAACAAACTCTTTCTGATCTTTTTCTGTTTCATGAATTTTCAACAGTAGCTGTCACGGACAATGGCACCTGAAACACTCTTGAGCTCCTAACTGAATTGGATGCTTCAGCGAGCAGAGGTTACTACTGAGGCTGTCATAGAAGCACTCCTGGGCTCTCAACTGAACTAGTTGCTTCAGCGAGCAGAGGTTCCCACTGAGGCTGTAATCGGTGAGCTCTCATATAAGAAGAGAGTGCTACTGAGCTTTCAACTGAACTAGTTGCATCAGCGAGGACAAGTTTCTACTGGGCAGTAATAGAAGAGCTCGTAACTGAAGAGAGCTTTCCTGAGCTTCCAACTGAACTAGGTACTTGAACGAGTAGAAGTTCCTACTGGGCTGTAATAGACAAAGCTCCTAACTGAAGAGAGCTTTCCTGAGCTTTCAACTGAACTAGGTACTTGAACGAGTAGAAGTTCCTACTGGGCTGTAATAGACCAAGCTCCTAAGTGAAGAGAGCGCTCCTGAGCCTCCAACTGAACTAGATGCATCAGTGAGTAGAAGTTCCTACTGATGATGCTATAGGAGAGCTCCGTCCCAGATGAATGTCAAAGAATGACATTACAGCTGACACATTTGAGACGAGCGGACCCTGTCTCAAACTTCTTATTATTGGAGTTTTGTTTAATAAATTGTAGTTTTTCGATGTACTTGTATTTTTTATAAAAGCTGTATGCAATATACTAGATTTTTACTATTTTTAATTGTATCTTAATAATTAAAAAATGATAGAGGACAAATTTATATGGGGGAATGATGATTTGATGACCTTTATTAAAAAGAGTGCATGAGTCTTTATTTAAAGGTGCAAACAACTATTAATGATTACGTACTCCTGCAGTACGTAATCGTACTGTACAATTTCTTACTAAATAATACTTCGTTACTTTCTTAATGCTTGCAAAATATTGGCAGAGAGTGATTGCCTTGTAAAATTTTGTGAATTGAAATAAATGTGCATTTAATATTCATTACATCCCCAACACCATATTAATTATTATGTTATAAAAGCATTTATTAGAATCAATGTGCGATTTCAGATCTAAACACCACTTGGACATGATTCGACTTCTAGTAGTCAGCGCGAATATTTTTGAACAGAAAATTTAATTTAATATGCTGCAGCGAGTTGCAGCTGCGGCAGGTCAGCTCTCGATGCAAGCAGCGATAACTCTTCCATGGAGGCGCAACCCTAGCATTTGTAACCTCGATGAACTTGGGAAGATTCTGAGCCTTTGTTTAGCGATACCCAAAGCATGGTTACATATATGAATAAAATTCCAAGGTCAAGACCTCAGGATTCTTTTAGCATTTCAGCCGCTGGAGTATGGAAGGAGTTTCCCGGTCACTGGAGTTTTTTTCCTAATTATTCATTGTATTTATAAGCACGCATATTTAGAGCATCCATGATTCGGATAAATCATAAGTTAGGAGTCAGAGGAGTAATTGTAAAAAAAACCTTGAGCAGCACTGAACTGTCAAGCGCCACTCAAGATTCAATTGTAGAATTCAAATCAGTTTGAAATCATGTTGATTGCATTAGCAAACGTTTAAATTTCCCTCTTGGGCAGAAACTCGGTTGCGCTGTCTAAACTACTTTAAATTGTCACAGCAATCTTCTTAAATTAGTTTCGATACAATTTCCTGTAATCAATGTAGCGTCCTGTAAATAAAGGCTGTATAAGTCATACATCACGAGTTGTTACTATTCACTTTTACCAACATCACAACTCAAGTAATGTGGAGATGCAACTTCACGAAACGACGCACACGCTATAGAATTAAACTGTCAGCGCCACGAATTATAGACAAACAAAAATAGCTCGTGCAAGTGTTATACGAAACACCTGCACAGCGCCTGATCGGTACCACGTACAAGTCCGTCTTGGTTCTTCACATTTCGTTAACATACAAGACCAGAGAAAGAGACTCAGGTAAGAGATGTTCTCTCTCACTACGAGCTCGTAAACGGATTGAAGAATATGTATGCAATGTAAACTGTGGAAAATAAAGTTGAATCAAGGTAACTTTAGTTTCAAGTCGTATACTGAACACACCGCTGAAAATGAATAGTTTGTAAATTTCAATACTCAATGAATGAGCTTCAACTTTAAAAAAAAATCAACATAACGCTAAGTATTCACTAATTTTTCTTTGAAACAATCAAAAACACGACGATTTTACGCGCAACGCCTATTATCAAGACATATATTAAAAAAAACATCTAGCATAAAATGTATCAGTTCTCATTTCTCAAGTAAATTCTTTGGTCCTTACGGAAGAAACACAACATCTTTCAGGCAAAAGCCTAAAAACATATATAAACTTATTCCTCTTCACCACACACATCTCGGTAATCCAGTTATACATCCACAAACAGAATCAAACGAATTTTCCCGCTCGATCCAATCGAGACCCCAAAAAACTCGTATCCTGTATGCAAGGCATCAGAGTTCCTCACAAATTCGTTAGCAGCCGCGGGGGCCGCGAAGGTGAACATTATCGGAGCAGAGTCGCGTTGTTTGAGGCCAACAGAGCGGAGATGCAACCAGTTACATCGTCCACTCCACCCACCTCTAATGACGTCTAGCTCCTGGCGTCTGTCTTTCATGCATTCACTACTTGAAGCAATGATCTTTTCATTGCAAATTGAAAAGAAAACAAAAAACTTCGCGAAAAGGTCAAGTCTGATTTGTAAACATAACAGGAATAGTGGAGCCTATACCAAACTGAACATTATAATAAACTTTGATTTATTTAAATATGCAAACCATGGCTTTTCTGAAGCGAAAAATAATAGCTAATGTATTAATCAACGCAAAATTCAAGCATATTATTGTCCATTAGCTTACAAAAGCGCAAACAGCGATAGATACCTAATTAAACAAGGGTTTTCCTCTATTAATGATTTTTAAGTAGTCAGTCTTTGTTTTGGAGAACGGTATGTTGGCTTGGCAGTGCTTCCCAGACTGTGGTACGCGTACCACGTATATATATGGTACGTTATTGCCTTTCAGGTAGAAGGCGAACGCGTTCTGGTTTAGAAATTATTTAAATATTAATTATTATTTAGCTATGTTTCACGTCATAAAAATGTTTACAGCTAAACACCGGATTTTCTGTCAGCGATTTGCCTCTGCAGTCACACGCTACCACCCACTAGTGGTGGCGTCACTGTCTACAGCATCAACCGTTGAATAGCGGCTGATATGTAGTATTAATGATACGCAATAATTGTGATGATACGCGACAACAGTACGGGACCTGCAAATGGCATTGGTCCGGAACTTGCGAGTGGTTCACAGAAAGTTTGCTGGGAACCACATGAGTAGGGTGGGTGGAGAGGGGCTAATGATCATTTTGCGTAAATATCTACGAAGAAAAAGAGGCAATAACAATGCACGACTCCTTACTGGTGACCTATAGGCTGGCGTGCTGCAGACCTGCTTGTCCAGCGTCACGACCATCCTCTTTCGGTTGTACGAAATTAAATGAACATAATTTCACGGCAAACAAAGCGAGTAAATTTTGGAAAATTCGAAGTTCAAACTAAAATATACATTAGTTTCAGAATTGGCCAGTGATGTTTTGTGAAAGATCAAAATGATAGGACGGCTCAATGCTTTCTTTTTGATTAAGTTTTGACTGAGATGGAATCCAACAAAATTTGCTAGTTAACAGCTAAATGCAATTTATTCCTTAATTTTGATCCCATCTAATGATCCTCGAATCAGCCATTACACGCAGTCTCGCGAATGTTTTCGCATGCAGCAATTGTATATTTTGCGTAGGGCGAGCAGCGCAAGTTGCGGGTTCGTAGCTTGGCGTGACGGCGACATGTTTGTTGGACAAGTGACAAATGCGAACGCCTTAACGAGCGGAGAAACCTGAAACGTGAGCAAGCTACGGAGGAAGCCTGTCAATAACACTATGATAAAATTCACGCTTTTGACCATACAGGAAAGTGCGCGGGGGGAGCCCAAGGCACGAATGCACTACGATTTGTACAGTGTACACATGTTGACAATTTACTGTACATACAGGTACAATTAGTTATACATTCATATGTAAACAATTTTGTAAAATATTTATAATATTTGAGGGAAATTGACGGACAACACGAAATTCTGGTTGATGATCGAATAATTTTAAGAGCATAACATGAATTTCGGTAACAAACTACGCGGAGTACAATGATGTATCGAACGAATGAGATATTCAATACAAGAAAACTCATGATAACGAATGAACGAGACTTAGCAACGAACCAGGTGGAATGGGGTCTTCGAAAAACCGAGTAACGGTCACTTAAATGAGTAATTCCAGTATCAATAATAAAGGTTGAGTGAATAGGTGAATGAAAGTATAGTGAGAAAATGGCGTCCAGGTAGCATTAAAAAATTGTGACCATTCGTCACAAACGGTATATACATCAGATGAACACTGAGTAAAGCTGTACGCAAGATCAGCCTCAAATAAGTGAATTCATGTAAACATTCATAAAAAAATAGGGAAAATTTCTAGAACGCAATAACCTGTAACCATCAATCAAAACTCTATTTCGACTTGCAATCTGTAGAAAATAAAATTTCAAGATGACTTTCAATTTCAATCCGATATCCATAAATTATAACTATTTTTAATAGAAAAAAAAACAAGCAACTTTAACAATCGATCACAGCAATTTTGTCACTAGTTTTCTTGCTCCCAACATTTCACCCATTTAACCACGAACTTTTAAGGAAATTTCAGCCATAATTATTTATTCAAACGCAAATGCCTCTATTTACCATTGATTTTCTACATCAACATATCACATGTGCAACATTACTAGTACTCTAATACACCAACAGCTGTTCACTCACTCGTAATCTTCAGCATAACTCGCTATTTCATAGAAGGAAATTAAATCGTTTAGGAATTCATCAATTAATGAATAATTCAAAGGACTAAGTCAGGCCTGGGCCCCCGCCCCACAACCTGTCCCGCGGGGCTCGACTTTTATGGCAAGAAAGACGTGCCCGTAAATTGCAGGCAAATGCGCGCACCTCTTTCAATTTGTGACTTAAATCGCCTGAAAATGTTAGCGTTTTTATGCCTTTTAAAAGACACGAGAAAATTTGCGGGCGTTTCGACGGCAATGTTAATTGAGTAGACGAGAATGCGCATATCTTGTAGTATTTCGTGACTTAAATTGACAGAAAATTTATGCGTACGTTCATAAGTTATGAAATGCAAGGAAATTTGTACGCCGCTTTTTTGCAACATCACGAGAAATTTTGCGCATTTTTATACTTGCAGCACTAATACTTAATAAATAGACAAGAATTCTTACACTGTGAGAATTTTCCGAAATTCTTCATATGAATAAAAAGTGAAAAAATATTTGCGTAAATTGCCTTAGAATTCTGTATTCAATATTGTCTGTCTTTGTATTTCATTCAGGCAATCAACGCGAGAATGTGTATATTTCTCAAGCATTTATCATACGTTATCGGGAAGAATTTCCAAGAAGTATGAGGGATGTGTAATGTATAAGTGTACGTACTCGAATATTAGAATTCAAATTGGACCTAAGACACATGAACGCCTAATTTCAGCTTATACATATCGGAGCTTGTTTAAAATTGCTTTAATATGCAAGCAAATTTGTTCACTATACTTTAAATTGAAAACCATTCCACATTAAAATTTGCGCTTGTAAAGGCAGGTTAAATAAAATAATTTATACAGCATCATCTACGGTTAACGGTAGTATGTGATTATAACATATCAGCGTCAAGAAACACTTCAATTCATCATACATCCAAAGAATTTATAAGCGATTTTAGCGATTCCAATTGATCAAGAAAGTATATCAATTTTAAATATCAATATTTAATTTTTTTAATCAAGAAAGTCTACGGAAACCAAACGCCGCGCTCTCTTGAGGAGTAAACACTGAAATACATGAAACGTAATACGCAAAACTGAATGCATACATAGCAGTGTTTAATACACTGATAATATTATATTATCAGTGATAAATTAATACTTATAATATTATATAATGAGCATTATTGTTAACACTGGTATATTATATGAGCAAGCGGGTGAGCTTTACCCATTCCTACTAAGTTTAAGGTTATGACGGTAAAACAGAAACCTTTTTCATTAACATTGATCATTTCTTAACCCAAACTAATCAATTTTCCGAATAATCCACGATTACCTACTGCAATCACTATTGGCACCTTAGTCCATTCATGTGTTACTCAGTAGCAATAGAACAATAGCCTAAGGCCTCCTCCATCCACAATAAATTAGAGACAGATAATAGCACATGATTTATCATTATCATTCAAAATTGGAGACGTTAACTAAATACGCTGCATCTCAGTAGTCAGCGAAGGGTGCCTGTTCAATCAAAATTTGTTTTTGATATCCAACTCATAACTAATTATCTTAGGTAATGCAACAGAGATTGTTTATATCTATCTTATCTATAGCTTTAATAAACTGAACTAGAATTAGGGTCTCTTGAATAGAACAACTCTAGCGTTGTTCGTGATCTGAGGCACGCGGATGCTCTGTGAAACATGCCGCGCGTTCACTTCAATTCATTCACTGTCACTGATTCATCAGTATGAATATCATTTATTCGGAGGATTAACATTGTTTATCGAATTAAATCAAATGTGAACTCTATCATTCATAAATCACGTATGGATAGTCGGAAAATTTGGTTGGTGCGTGGATGATATTATATAAACTGAAAATAATTAAAATTGTTTTCTGAACTATCTATAGGCTAGCTCGGATATGGCCTACGAGGCTACGAGGATATGAAAAGGAAAAATGGATCATTCCGATGACAGCAAAACAAATATCATGTGCAATAGCATATAAATATTAAAGTGTTATTTACAAAGTTTATTAAATTAATTATTTTTATTCGTCCTCACCATGCGTTATTCGTGCTGAGGTGATAATGGCACACAAGAGCAGCAGAATAATCCTCAGCATGAGAGTTGCAGCAGCACGATCCATGCTACTCTTCTTAATGAGTCTATATTACAACTCATTAAAGATTTTCATGAATTATCAGGCACTGGATTTACTCACAAGAACCAAAAAAATTAAGGAACTTCCTTTCAGGTTCCTTAAATTTCACAAACACATCTATGATCAAGGGTGAGCCGGTTAGTTTAGGTTCTCGCGAAGACGTAGTTTCAAAACAGTAGTATTTCTTTAGAGCAAATCAAACACGGAATCTTTTTCCATCACCAAATCCTTCACAATTTTATCACTTGATTCCACATACATAAGAGAGAATTAAATCATGGTGGAACTCTCCTATGAACACAAAACTTCTAAGACTTAATATTGCCCCACCATGCAATCTCAACGCTCGCAGAGGTCTGTCACAGTCTTGAGCGCTTCACCGCGACAACCACACTCGACGAACGACAGACTCGCACTGGCAGTGGGTTGGCTTCATGGCTTGGCCGAATCAAACTTGCCTCACCGATAGGCCAAGTACGCGAATTCTGTAGTCTGAACAAAACCTAAAGAATTATCATAAAAATCGTCATCAGATATTCCTCATTTGCTGGAAACTTCATTGATTCATAAATCCTGATTCAGTCGTTTCATATAAAATCCTAAAATGAGCTAAATTTTAATATTTGCATGCCACAAACATTAACTATTGCATAGAACGAACGTTCGGTACGAATATTTAGTACGGGGAGACGACGTCTAGTACTTTTGCAGCTCCTAAGCCAGGCGGTGCTGGAATGAATGGGACAGCGCTCGGGGCTGTATGGGCCCGACTTATGGCCCCTCGAGATATCTGAAATCCTCGAGAATAGGAAACATCCCACATTAAAAAACACATTAAATTTAACGGGTATAAGCATAGCTATCTTTTTCAACTCGATTAAATAACCATGTATATAATAGTGAATTCCAATTTAAGAAAGGGTGATAAGGGATTATTTAAAATGGCCAGTTTGAATTTAATTACAATTATTTTTTAAAACTTTACGTTCCATATTGAAGATAGTTGCAATCGTCAGATTATAGACTTTTACGCTAGTGAATCTGCGTGGGAATCTTTATACGATGTAGTAGGCTCTTTGCAAACACTAATGTAACTAATTTTTTAATAATACAATGAAATTTATATGCATTATGCCTAGATTTTTAACACACTTTTGCACGCCTAATTTTGTTACAATTACGGAACGTATTCAAATTTCATACAGATCATGCTATTAGTTGCAGGGAATTGTCGGCTCGAGGTGGAACAAAATATCACTTACAGTATATATTGAATCTTAAAAAATACATTCATGCTTTTTGCATAGAAGCTATCATTTTATTTTTCCATCATAGTCTCGATGATTTTTCAGAAGATATTATGCCTGTATAATGATGCTCTCAATATGTCAAGGCAAATTTATATGGCCACCACAAAAAAAAAATTAGACCCTATTTCCTGTCTCAATAAACGCAGCAATTACATGCACGATCTTTTCTATTCCTTTGATGGTACGCGGTAATAACATAAATATAAATATCGATATTTACGACTAACTTGTATCCATAACTAAATTGTAGCAATATTTTCCCACGATGCAACGTAACTTCCACGCCTCCAACGCTATTTCCCATACCATATTTGGTAAACTGTAGATCAAATACATATTTATTATATGTACGTTCTTGGCTGCAATAAATAACTTTAACGAGTTTTCCTTTAAGTTCTGGTCATGAAGGACTTGACATCCTTTACGACTCTTATTGTGCCAAGGAAGATCTCACAAACCACGCTGTCCCTCATCACAAAAGAAGGAATTCTGCCCAAAGTGACATGAAAAGCCGTGAAATTTAATTACCAGGGTGAGAAATTCAACTGAAGATCGCTGTGTGGTTTGCGGTGGCGAAGCTCCCAAAAATGTGGCTGGCGCGTTGCTTTTGGCTACGGTTAGAGGATGCGCTTTGAATTTGCCTTCATTCGAGCCGTGTGTAATATGGTTAAATGTTTTGAGTTATTATATATCATTTAATATATTTTTAAAATTTAGTTATAAATAACATTTTGAGCCGTGTGTTGAGCCGTGTGTAATATGGTTAAATGTTTTGAGTTATTATATACCATTTAATATATTTTTAAAATTTAGTTATAAATAACATTTTGAGCCGTGTGTTATATGATTAGATATTTTGTGTTATTATATATTATTTTATAAATATTTCAAATGACATTATAAATAACATTTGAGCCGTGTGTAATATGATTAGATATTTTGAGTTATTATATGTTACTTTCTAAATATTTCAAATGTCATTATAAATAACATTTAAACCGTGTTTAATATGATTAGCTATTTTGAGTAATTATATATTATTTTATATATATATCAAATGTCATTATATACATATAACATTTGACCCGTGTAACAGGCGTTGGTATTTTATTCAGCCCTGTCATAATGTTAAATTTGATATATGATGCAATCATGAGCAACTCCTTGTAATTATAAGTGTAGTTAAATTTTAAATTCAAAAACGAATTCAATATATTGAACACATATATAGCTGAAAAACTATAAGATTTAAATAAATGCACGCTAAAGTAAATAAAAAGTAATAAGATACTTATTCTAAAGATACTCACTAAATTAAATAGAAAGTAGGCATGGTACAGTAGAATCAGCCAATCTTTAGAGCATTTCAGTCCCGCCCGTGCCAGGGTAATGGCGTTCGTGTCGCAGGCCAAGAAAGTCGTGAAATTTAACGCTCCTCGATTGGTCACGACGGTCAGCTCACGTCCAGGATAAAGTCATTCAATTTTTGAGGCCTAATAACGTTATTATTTATAGCATTTGATCTGAAGCAGAAGCAACAGATTTTAGTATTTCTAAACGCGATATTTTCTATTTTCAGTCACGGATTTTTAAGGCCTAATAACGTTATTATTGATAGCATTTGATCTAAGGCAGAAGCAGCCGATTTCAGTATTTCTAAAATGCGATATTTTCAGTGAGAAATGATTCACAGTATCATCGATGTTTAAATTAACGTCTTTTAATACGTTTTTGTTGCGTTCGGAGCATGAACCATTGTACGATACACTAAATTCATTCTATATCGGCAATTCGATCAATTAATCAGAATAATCTGCCTTTGTAGAGAATATGGATAGAATATCTCGTATTTTTAGCGCATTTTATCATTTATGGAAAAAAGGCGCTATTGTGCTCGTCATTTCCGTCCGTCCGTCCGTCCGTCTGTCAGTCTGTCCGTCCGTGACCACGTTTTCGTTGAACCGAAAAGCGCGTAATTTAATTTAATAAATTAAATTACTTCCTTGAACCTGAATTTTTATCAACCAACGTCCACTGAAGAATATTGTTCGATCCTGAAAATTTAAATCAATGATTTCTCTGGTCATTAACCACTCGTGTTTAAACAAGTTATATTTTTTTCTACATTTTACGATATAAGCGTGTTAAAGCTGCATGCGCTACAGTATGAATAATTGAATGGGTCAAATTCCGTTGAAGATTTCGTTACAGAATTTGCAAAGTAGAGCTTACAAATAATGGTATAGTATACAATTTCAATGTAAAGATCTAGCTGCTGATTAAAATTCAGTCTTTTAGCAGCTTCAGAAACTTCTTAGTCATTCAACAACATAAGAAAACCGTGTAGATGGCAATTTAATACCTCCTGCATTCATACACTCAGTTTAATTGCAATTAAATTCTGTACGCACTATTCTTGTCACCACATCTGCTAAAGGAAGTCATCACAGATCGATTGTTGGGTTCGTCCTGAGTCTTGGTGTCGCGCAATAAAGTCGAAGTGAGATACACATCAGCTTTATACGACCCGGCTGGGCCCAGTCACTGGGTCCTGATAGTTTGCGGATGTCTTTCCGGACTGGCTTTCGTCTATATACGAATCTGTCTTTCCGGACTGGCTTTCGTCTATACGAATCCGTCTTTTGGGATGGACGAATATCTGGAGGAATCCGAGAATATGTTATTACAGGTATGTAGATGTAGATGGTCCCGAATCCCTATATCCTTTTATGGATGGAGTTACGACAGAGACAGCGCTTCCTAGTTACGTGTAGGTTGGATGGGGTCACTGGGTTCTTCCGTTGCTCCATAAGGAGGAAATCTGATGTTATTTTTTCTTATTACTTATAATTTTACATCATATTTATCAAAAATATTTGATCTATTATTCCAAATGGGGTTTGACTGTCGGCAGCAAATGACGACTTTTTAAATGATAAATTTTGATTTAAAAAGTGTATTCCGTTTTATTGTACTCGTAGCAAAAGACAACGAAAATTTATAGCTCTTAAGGAATTTCTTCATTAATGATTTCATATTGAACGAAACTAAAATACGATTTCTATGTCAATTAAATTGCTAGGTCGCCTTCAAGATTGCTGTTATCTCGAGCACTCGAGAGTTGCTATCAATAGATACGCTGGGTTAGACATTGATCTCGACAGCAGTCATTCCGACTAACAGATCTCCGTTATGATTTAATGGAGTCAGGCAAATAGAGCTATGGATGACCATCCGCGACGTTCAGATCGATTAAGAAATTAATGGTTGGTGATCGAATCTGCTGTAATAGCCAAATAAATTAGTCTTAGAAAAATGTCACACAAACATTTGGTTTGGACTCCCAAAATTAAAAGAAAATATTAGAAATTGAAGTATACATTAACAGTATATGAAACATGACAATACATATGGGAAAAGAGACGCTAGCTGTTATATGGAGGCGACAGACATGTACGTACTATGTGAAAGGGACGAAACGAAGTACATATATACTGAAGAAAATTAATGAAAAATTACTGAATTACAGAAAATTTCATACGTTTCAGACACGTTTGTACATGTTACAGGCAGCCGGAAGCACGTACATGGTGCGAGTAAGAGTCATAATTCCTGTACATATGAGCAGCACCTGACAGACGTACGCTGCCGGTGCTCGAACAAAAGCACTGATAAGATTACCAAGGCAGCGGCGAGCTGTCATACCTTTGATGCCCGCGCTGTTGTTTCAGCCCAGAAAGACCGTTTCATATCGCTAATTCCTAAGGACTTTTGGCATTCTAATATTCACCTTATTTCTAAAATCACTGAACTGCTGCTACAAATTTCCATAATTTATACTCGTCAACTGTTTCATATTAATGGCTCTACATTTTCCACTGAGATGTGTTTTTTAATTGAATATCAAAGTTTTTAGTCCTATGTATTTTATATGTTAGCTAAAACCGAGAACTTCAGCGTAGGATTGAATTTAGAACCAATATTCTGAACATGTTCGTAACGTCCAGATTATCGGTAAACGAAAACGGCATCCGCGTCAGTCAGGCATAAATATCTGTGTTAGAACAGGTTTATCTCGGCCGACAAAGCCAATCCCTATTAATTAAGCGAACTGGATTGATCAGATCAGATTTATTGGTACATATTTATGACTTCCACCCAGGCAGTCAAAGTGACTCCACCAAAACTCCTTTAATCTACAAAAATATGCTCCTGAATAATCAATATACGTTTCTGATTATTTTTTATTTGTTTTTTTTTATCGTACTCGCCAGGATAATATTATCAATACAGCCCATGCTAGAGCCTTTAAAAAATTAGAACCATAATAATTGTTTCCTTTTCACACTCAATTTCTGCATTTCTGCGCCCTGAATTTCTGCATTTAAAATATGTATTTTTTACTATTTAGGAGTGAATATTAGATTAGAGGGCATTCCTTTATAATAATCACCATGCAGACATTACCAGTCTCGTTTGTACTCATATCTCCTCGGTAGAGTGATCAATGGTCTCAGTGTTGGTGACATTTGTGTCGTTGATGATCAAAAGAGCAGGCGGTTCTTTGCATTATTATTTTTGTTATTATTATTATAATTAATATTATTAATATAACTGTTATTATTATTATTATTATTATTATTATCATCATTATTATTATTATTATTATTATTATTATTATTATTATTATTATTATTATTATTATTATTATTATTATCATCATCATTATTATTATTATTATTATTGTTATTATTATTATTAATAACGAAGCGATTATCGTCTTGTTCAACTGAACATCGACGGCACGTTACACGTAAGTCTGATAAAGAGCAACTACATAAAGCTACTCATTGTAGGATGGCTGCTACTCATCCTACGTGTCTACTTCTAATCCTACTCATCAAAATAAAGCTCCTTATGTCACTGCCATTCGGTTTTTATTTCACAACATTATCGTGAATGTACCTATGTGTATGGCACTCTGTGTGAACCTGCGTGAAGCAGCTACTGCTTCGCGTGAGCTGAAAGTTCGCATTATTTTATTGCTTGTATTGCTATCAGTAGCCCTGATAATAATTCAGTGGTGTTACAGGTTCTCAATGATTGATCAAATTTTAGTGATGCGAATATATAGTTATCATGATTTTAGTTTCTTTTCAATAACATCGATTCAGTGTTCTCTTCGATGTTCTCTACTGGTTCTCAACGGTTGAGCTGGTTCTCAGTGGTGCTGCTGGAGCTCAGTGGTGCTGCTGGTGCTCAGTGATGCTGCTGGTGCTCAGTGGTGCTGCTGGTGCTCAGTGGTGCTGCTGGTGCTCAGTGGTGCTGCTGGTTACACTATTGTACAGTGCACACTATTGTACAGTGTAAACTATTGTACAGTGTACAGTGTTTGGTGAGATAACAGTTCTTTGAAATGGCGTGTGAACTTGAAATGAGTTTTGAATAATCACATATATGAGCAAAATATGCTCAAACATAAATATTATGTTCCTAAAATTTATTCGAGTATCGCTGTGTACTAATATATAATCATTAAACATTTGCATAGTTGTAATATACCTTGCAATGTTATGCTGATGTTGGTTGTTGATCGACGGTATCAAATTCGGAATCTTATTAATACTCCATGAGTGAATTAAGGTCTTAAGGACCTCACTCCATGAGTGAATTGAGGTCCAAGAAAACCGCTTGTAATTATTCTAATTATTCACTTTTAACACACGCTTTGATTTAGCCGGTGTACAAAAAAATAATCTACGGATTTTACAACCCCGACTAAGCGGTGCTTGAATCCTATTCTTATATGAACATTTCGTCACGCTCTAAATTCAGCACGCGGTTTCATTCAAAAGACGACCCTTGAGATGCCAGGTTCCGGTGTACGTTCATAGATTCTATAGCTGAGTTATGAGCCTTATTCTGCACTCGTCAACGCTTAAGTAGAGGCAATAAATCTATGGCATCGCTCAAAACGGAAGTTCAAGTGTTTCGTGCGCCGTGAGAAGATACATAGCGTGTATTCGAGTGTTTCGTGTGTCGTGGGGATCTACACAGCGTATTCAAGTGTTTCGTGGGTCGTGAAAAGATACACAGCGTGTATTCGAGTGTTTCGTGTGTCGTGGGGATCTACACAGCGTATTCAAGTGTTTCGTGCGCCGTGAGAAGATACATAGCGTGTATTCAAGTGTTTCGTGCTTCTTATGATCTATACGACGTATTCAAGTGTTTCGTGCGTCGTGGGGATCTACACAGCGTGTATTCAAGTGTTTCGTGCGTCGTGGGGATCTAAACAGCGTATATTCAAGTGTTTCGTGCGTCATGAAAAGCTACAAAGAATATTCAAGAGTTTCATGTATCGTTTGGTGATACACAGGGTATTTATTGTTCACACATTTTTTAGAAATTTAGTAACGGGATGTTGAATTAGATCTTTACATATAATATTTTCTAAAACCAGATTATTACTTATATCAGCGGATTCTCAGCCATATGTTTCAACCTTCTATAGTCCGTACATATACGTACAAAAGAAATTTATATTCCTCGCCGCTTTTTGGCCTGAAGTCCGTCTGTTCAGTGGTACTAATATACTTGGAATGTTAGCAGGAAACTCCCCGTAAAGACGGAAGACAAGCGGTTAATTGAGTTTTGAAATACGATGTCGGGAGCGTGTTGTTCGAGGCTCAGCTCGATGCCCAAGAGGTTGCCCCGGTGCCGGTTTAGAGAAACGTCTGGATTTCAATATAATTTGTTGAATGTAATAAAAGAATATAGATTTAGTGAGATATAATATGCGAAAAAAATTCTCGATATGAGATTAACATAATTGGGAAAGCATGGCTTTAGGGTTACCTTTATTTATTAAAGGAGCATGTTTTTACTTGACCAGGAATGTAGGTTATATTTAAAATCTAGAAATAATAAGGAATTAGACTGTAGAAAAATAGTATGTTGAGAAGCAAAATATAAAGAAAATCATTATTTTAGCTGGCAATTACTTCAATAATTCAGAAATATATCATGAATGAATGCTGCAGCGATACTGAGATAAGATGAATGATAAGAACACACTCCGCATTGTAGCATTTAAAAATTACCAAAGTCAAAGGCTGTTTCATGTCAGTGTTTACATCGCTGAATATGGAGCTTATCCTCTCTCTTATTCATACATTATTTATCATCATTATATTATATTAAATTTAATTCTCCTCCCTAAATAACGAGGCCTTCTACAAAAAAAATTGTGATCTTCTCGTCTCTGTTGAAACTTGCAAGTGAAAAATTTATGGCCTGCAGGAAAGTTAAAAATTTTTTTGTTTTCCTGGAAATTACTTCCGCGTACTTACCCTCGACTCGGTGCATTCCATCCTCAAACTAGAGTAATTCTCACTAAACTTTTCGGGACGTGTCGCATTTTTCGTGCGTTTGAGCAGACAGCCTCTCCTACACTCGGGTTCATTGGGTCCGTGCATTTCTGTATATATAGGCTCATCTCCTTTAGGTTGAACCAAGAATCGCTCAGCTTATGAAGTAACTCGAAATGCTCCATTGACGTTTTCAAACAAAACATCTTAAGACTCACTTATATGAATTGTTTTATCATATTATTTACGAAAATTTCTAATCAAAATTTTCCGTCTTACTAAATTCGAACACATTCATGAGCGCCAACACCCAATATAATTGATATTTTTCAATGATTTAATCATCATTTAAATAACTTCTCCTACTTATTAACAAATGAAAACAAATTCACGTGCTGCGCATATATGCATTACCACAAAAAGAAAAAAAATTGATTATGGCTGATAATATACCAAAATACACAATGATCGCTGATTTTCCACTTGGAATAAGCCGATGCTATTTCCATTTTAATGAAGCCAATACAATTCTTGTTGCCAATAATATTTTCGCCTAGAAATAAGACAATACCATTTTCCATTTGGAAGAATCAAATTTATCAAAAGATCATCAAAGAATACAAAAAAAATTTTGCTTTGCAATCCGCCGAAATTAAAGGAATACGTAATGAAAATTATTAAATTTGAAATTTTACCACAGAACCGGAACTCCAATCCTCCAATTAGGCACGCAATTTTTTATCTTGTCATTTGATTGTTCATGATCCATTAGATCAAGATTCACGGAACCACCGAAAAAACCTGGATTACAAACAAATATTGAACTCCCTTTGAATTGTAGATTTTTCACCGAGAAAAATTATCTTTTTGCTCCAAATTCAATGTAGATGAATGATATTAAATGCAAGGCTTCCTGTCATTCTTTTTCTTCGTTCACGATATAGACCCTGAACTTTACAATTAGAACTATAATAAATATCAATAATTAATAATAATCATATTAAGTATCAACAATAATAATATCAATAATTCAATTTGTTTTGTTATTTTAAACTCCATTATTCATTTTCTTTCACCACTTTAATCAGTTATATTCTTTACCCATAGAAAATAGAATGGTAGAAAAATTTAAATGACTCCCTTTGACATCTTTCATGTGTTCTGCATTGGTTCGTGGTAGCATTTTTTCAGATAGATCCTAATTTATGAATAACAATTTTCTTTTTGATCATGTTATGAATGAAATCTTAACTACATATATGTGGATGCGCCGTTGCTGCTTCCTCCCAATGTTCCTTGTTCTGTTTTCATTAATTAAATAAACTTTTAAAAATTCAAAACTCGACTGTGTAAAATCCTTAAAAAGCTCGATTACGAGCACTCTTTTTGAGGTTCGCGATAGGATTTCCTACAAGAACACAACTTTCATCGCTGGCGTGTGATACGTGTCCTTTATAACTGTAAAACTCATTTAAATATATAAGAAATGAGATAATATTCTTGCTAATTATTTCATAATGCCGGCAGCTAAACCTGTTATGAATAATTAGGAGCATACTAATTAGCTGAAATAATTCAATGGTAAGAGAAGAAGTCACCCACTATTTGAGAAGCGCTCAAATGAATTAAATTGTATCTTTCCAAAAGCGGTGTGAAGTTCTCATCAATATATCTAGTCGACCTCTTATTAACAACACTAATTTAGATAAATGGTCAACATAAATTGCCGTTAGAACGACGAGTTTAGCGGTCGTTTGACTTAGTAGCTTTCTGTAATTTTATAGATTGCTTGGAATTCCGATTTCTGCATCATCGCATTAATATCAATCATACCATACCATATTTTATTTTCGTTCATTAAGTACTTCTTTACATGCCATTAACAAATCTATTGAATCAGCAATGAAATCGACGACAAACGAATGAATGATCTGCGTGCTACAAGCACCCTAATCTAATTTACTGATCTAACTTTATCTGATTTGTTTAGATTTGGCTAAAGTTACACGTGGCTAACCTTGATCACAGTGTAAGTATTAACATTGGAGAACATATGAGGCATATTCTCGAGGCGGTCTTGAGCCTGTGAGTCACCGTCTATACAGCTTTATTTATACGCACTCACGGATCGGCTTGCCGTGTTTGGCTGAAACTCTAGCCAAGTCCCTCGGTTTGTTTACATCGGCCAGCCTGCGCTGGACTGCGCTGTGGCGTCGCTGTGGCGCCTGTACACCGCCACGGCGCAGCCTGCATTGGACTGCGCTGTTGTGCTGTAGACTGCACCGCCACGGCGCAGCCTGCGCTGGACTGCGCTGTGGCGCCTGTAGACTGCACGGCCACGGCGCAGCCTGCACTGGACTGCGCTGTGGCGCCTGTAGACTGCACGGCCACGACGCAGCCTGCACTGGACTGCGCTGCTTCGGCTGTAGGCTGCACGGTCACGGCGCAGCCTGCACTGGACTGCACTGCTGTGCCGTAGACTAAACGGCCACGGCGCAGCCTGCGCTAGACTGCACTGTGGTGCCGTAGGCTGCACGGCCACGGCGCAGCCTGCACTGGACTGCGCTGTGGCGCCTGTAGACTGCACGGCCACGACGCAGCCTGCACTGGACTGCGCTGTGGTGCTGTAGGCTGCACGGCCACGGCGCAGCCTGCACTGGACTGCGCTGTGGCGCCTGTAGGCTGCACGGCCACAGCGCAGCCTGCACTGGACTGCGCTGTGGCGCCTGTAGTAGACTGCACGGCCACGGCGCAGCCTGCACTGGACTGCGCTGTGGCGCCTGTAGACTGCACGGTCACGGCGCAGCCTGCGCTGGACTGCGTTGTGGCGCCTGTAGACTGCACGGCCACGGCGCAGCCTGCACTGGACTGCGCTGTGGTGCCGTAGGCTGCACGGTCACGGCGCAGCCTGCGCTGGACTGCGCTGTGGCGCCTGTACACTGCACGGCCACGGCGCAGCCTGCACTGGACTGCGCTGCGGTATAGTCAGCATATTAAGTAACACACATTCTACATCTATTTATATAAATTAAAGCAGGTTTCATTGAAGACCAAAGATTATTTCTTATTATTATTATTATTATTATTATAAATAAGTGAATTTTGAGAATAAGTGGATTGATCAACCATAAACACATATTACTTATTACATGATACACTAAAAATATTTAAGAATTTTTGAGCAATTGCTGTATATGTAATAAGCAGTATAAACAGTAATTATATTCTTCCTATTGTAAAAATAAATTTTTAACTCACGGTTATCATCTGTAAATTTCAGTAGCTTTAAAGTCACTATTAAATTAAAGTCCTTATCTTGATGGTATACACGGTTAGGAACTAAACGAAGATTTATCACAAGTGATTAAATATTATGTATGGCTGTATGGTTACAGATTGTTAATGTGTCCAAACTAACTACAAAAATAATAATTTAAAATGTTCTAGTAGCACTGGAATCTTCATTGAATGAAGACAATTTTTAGTTTTACTTTAATAAGTGATTTGATGACTATCTAAATCGGTAGGGCAATGTTAAACGACCGGAAGACGCCGGATTTTAGCAGCAGACGGCATCAGTAATCCGCTGTCGAGATTTTCTGATTTTTTTTTAAATCGTGAGGTCTTCAAGCGAGCACAAATCTCCGTGTCTGAATGTGTTTGTGCATTAATTTCCTTATAATTTATGGATCTGAAGCATAGACGCACATAAGTTGTCTACACCAGATTTTAATGTTTTAAGGTTAAGACCAAGGTTCTTGCTCTCTATTATGCTAATGCATTTCTATCATTTTTACATTTCATCTTATTTTCAATGCCAAATAAATGAAATTTTTCTAGAATAGAATGAATCACGGCCAAAAATGTTCCGTAATCAAAAGGAAAAGCTAAAAACGAAAACCGATTAGCTAATGTAGAGATTTGGGTCTCATATTTCATCGTTATTTAATTGAGCGGTACAGTAGGCGCTTGAAGCCTGGTTTACTGCGAACTGTGAATTTACTAGGCCTGATATAGAAAATGAATTGAAATATGGGCATAGCAGAGGTGTAACTGTAGATTTTTCGGGTATTTTTAAGGGAAACTACGGTGGAGTAAATACTTAATTAATATAGCAGAATATTTTTTAATGTTTTTTACTTTTTAAATAGAAAACAATCAATATTTAGAACATTGAGTACTCAATACTGAGGTTAAAACCACTACGAATGCAACAAGATCACAACGTTGGCATTACAAATCAGAACGGAACTAATACAACTTTGAACACCTCCATATATATCGAGTTTTTTAGATATGAAGAAACTACGTGCAAAAAGAGAACATCCACTCACTCGTTTCCGACAGCTTGAGCGACGAACTTTTTGACACCTGCATGTGGTCGAGCTTAAAAAAACGCAAGATTTAGGGTAGAAGAAAGACACCAAACAGAGTAGAAGAAAGACGCGATATAGAGTAGAAGAGTGATACGATTTAGGGTAGAAGAAAGACATGATATAGAGTGGAAGAAAGACACGATACAAAGTAGAAGAAAGACTCGATATAGAGTACAAGATTGATACGATTTAGGGTAGAAAAAAGACACGATACAGAGTAGAAGAAAGACACGATATAGAGTTTAAGAGTGGTACGATTTAGGGTAGAAAAAAGACGCGATACAGAGTAGAAGAAAGACAAGATATAGAGTTTAAGAGTGATACGATTTAGGGTAGAAAAAAGACACGATACAGAGTTGAAGAAAGACACGATACATAGTAGAAGAGAGACACGATATAGAGTAAAAAGAAACAGGGTTTTGGGTAGAAGAAAGCCTTGATTTAGAGTGGAACTATGACTGAACTTAGAAAAGAACAAAGACACAGTTTAGGGTAAAAGAAACAGAATTTGAGGTAACTCGACTCCGTCCCTCTATTGTGAGCCTCAGACCTGCGTGAGAGGGTCGACTGCCCTCGCTGAACTTTACGAGTCAGTAGAACAAGGCCTTCCTCATCCACTACTCCGAAACCCGCTGTATACAAGTATACATATATACATGTATACATGCTCTGCCGCTTCCTATATACAAAGAAAAACAACTACACAGTGTGTCTTTACTTCCACTTCTCTCTGGTGAACAATTAATTCAGGAAGACTTCAGGAAATTCATCAGTAATTTTATAATTTCCAGGGATTTCCTAAATACTATTTATTATTAATTAATATGAGATTAGATAATCAACTATTTTATCCCATTCTCCCTACTAAAGATTTATTTTCGTAAGCTAATAAAATTTGTGTATGGATGTAGAATTTGTAGAAAAATATGAGTCTACATGAGCTGCTAGATTGAATGCATTCAGCTGAACAAAAAATTATGAAACAACTAGTATATTGCAATATTTTTCAGTGATTTATGATTCGTTCACCAAATGAAGCCTACAAATTGTATGGAAAGAATATTTTCTAATTAGTTCAGGTGATACGCTCGAGAAACTGAGCGATCGCGACACTGGCGGTGCACCGGTGCATGCGTGCATGCGTATCATGAAGAGCCGGCGCCGGGATAGCGCACCACAAGCACCAGGACAACGCACCACAAGCACCAGGACAACGCACCACAAGCACCAGGACAATGCACCACAAGCACCAGGACAATGCACCACAAGCACCAGGACAATGCACCACAAGCACCAGGACAATGCACCACAAGCACCAGGACAACGCACCACAAGCACCAGGACAACGCACCACAAGCGCCAGGACGACGCACCACAAGCACCAGGACAACGCACCACAGCGTACCAGCACAACGCACCACAGCGTACCAGCGGTGCGCACTTTATGGTGAGATAAGGGCAGCGTCTAAACAAACACTGCCTGGTTTTGTTTCAGGTCTCAAAGAAGCCATAGAGCTCAGCGCAACCCAGTGTATGGGGAGATAAAACGAAGAAAAATCGTCTCGACGCGCCAAAAGTCAACAGGAGGTCCCTAAATCGCGTCATTATGAAACAAGTTCTAAGCAAGCAGCTCATCTCGCTTGGGATACACGCTAAACACTGTCCATCGTGTTGATGCTCCCGGGTAAACATAAGCTCTGTGATTTGAGAGGAAAATTTAACAGGTTTAGCGGCCCGGCGACAACAGCCACCGTCAGCTGATGGACATGGTATATCACACTAAGTTGATTCTGATAAAGCAAACTGAAGAGACGACAGGAACTTTCCTTAATTGCTTTAAAATTAGAAAATCTGCAATTTTTAACAAAATTAATGATACTTCACCGTATTTTGGCTAGGAAAAAAATTCTCGAACCAGGATTAAACATATTTTGTACATAACTTTGGATTTAAACATAGGTAAATATGTGTTATATGCATCTATCATTAATATACAGAAAACATTGCATCGATAAAAAAATAAGTAAGTATAAAATGAAGAAATGGTGTCAGAGAACACATGAATGCCAAACTATAAGCGCAAACGCAAACTCAGCACACCAACAAGCAGCAGGTTGTTTGACATTCGAGCTTATTGATAGCGACCAGAATGATCTAAACAGCCTACGTATAAATTCTTGAAGCCAAACTTAAACGTTGATGATACTTAGCTGTGATAGCAACGGTCGTAGATGTTGTGCAGAACTAGCGAATGTTTTAGCTAAAATAGTCCTCTAATCTTTTAATGGAGCGCTAACGTTTAACGTATGAACTTGTTTTGTACCTACATATTCGGGAATGTTTCAATCCTTTTAGTGCTGATAATTAGCAAAATGTTAGTATTTTATCAACGTTTTAAGGTTAGGTGTATCCGAAGACAAAATTTGGTATATCCTAATTAATAATTGTAAACATTATACAGAGAAGCAATTGCTTTTAAAATAAATTTTCATAGCGAAAACTGAAGATTTTACACAACATGAGTGAGTGTTCTTTTAGTTCGAGTTTCCATGTTGGAAACGAAGTGGTTGGTATTCAAGACACCATTAAAGCTCATTTAGCGAGTGCTTACGTAAGTTTATGTTTGGAGTCAGAATGTATGAAGTTGTTTGGCATTACGCATTCTCATGAGCATTTCACGCACTCAAGCGCATTTAGGCATAGATGTTTCGACATCTACACTGCGCATTCAGTATGCATTTAGGCGCATTTTTTAATTAGTGGGCATCTGCTCTCCACATTCAATACGCATTTCGACGTATTTTTTGATGTGCTGGCATCAATACTCAGCATTTAGTACACATTTAGACGCATTTTTAAATGTGTTGACATCATCACTGCGCTTTCTGGACGCTTTTATATAGTTGTGTCCGTAAATGAGTTAAAAATTTTCACTGTGCATTCGGGACGTATTTATGCGTGTCCGTAAATGCGTTCACATCTATACTGCGCATTCACTATGCAGAATTTGAACGAGTAAAATGGTCAAAAAATTAACTTCGATAATAAATTTATCTGTAAAGCTTGCCCCATGGATCTCAGACATAAAAAAATATATTGCAGTACAATACCGCATGCACCCACTCATTCGTTCCTAAATGCTTTTTAATTAAGCGTTGCAGCCTTAATTCACTATGAATTAATTATTAATTAATTCGTTAATCCATTAATCAATGATGGATAGGCAATAATATCGTTTACCGTATCTACAGTGGGGGGAAATAAATATTCGTACACTTGAAAAATCGTATTTTAATGTATGTAAGTACACAAACTTAACAGGAAAAAGGATTTAAATTATGTATAGAGACGCATAGTATTCAAAAATACTATCAAAAGAAATTAAATCTCAATGCAACAAAAAACAATGCAACATGTTCACTTTTTTATTGTTTTGTACGAATACTTTTTTCACCCGAAAAGTGAACATGTTGCATTGTTTTTTGTTGCGTTGAGATTTAATTTCTTTTGA